GAAACCAGTGGGTGTTTCGTACAGGGCCTCCTGTATTTGTTCTGTCAGCTCTTCATTAGTTTTCTCTTCATCTGTGCCAATGATACTGAACAACTTAGGTTTGATAGTCTCACTTTTTTTTTTTTTCCTTTGGGTAACTGCTGTGGTCCCCTTCATTCTGCCACAAGCAAAATTGTCTTTACACTTAATTCTCCTCTCTTTTGCAGATCATATGGGAGGCACAGGTTCTTGTATAACGAGCATTTTTAGAGCAGGTGCTTCACAAATCTGAAAATCTGTGTGCATAAAAATGTGCTATGGAGATCATTGTTCCAGAACAAATATATTGTATTCTGGTGATGGACTGCACTTAATGCAGCTTTCTAAAAGCTGTGGACTTACACCTGCAACAAATAAACTGAGGCTTCACATACAGCTGTAGCAATCTCTTTTCCTGTCATGGGTAATGATGAAACTGTGAAGCAAAAGCTTAGTTTAGAAATAAGGAGGACAGGTGGAACAGGGGCCAGGGGAGGGGGAGGAGGAGGAGGAGGTGTAGGAGTGGTGGATATGAACCACTCCCATGGCTTACCAGACATCTGCCTGGCTGCCAAGGGCCCTGTCCTCACAGAGTGACTCCTGTCACAGCGTGCTCCGTGTGACAATGCTGACTTCTGGCATAGGCTTTATTTTGCAAGGGAAGAGTCAGGACTTAGATTTCCCATCATGGTGCGGTGATGACATGTAAGGCTGGTTAATAACCACCAGTCTTGGCACTACTGGCCTGATACCCACAGCTGCAGGGGGTTTGGCATGGGCTGGAAATCTTCCCAGGCTATGGGCTACGCTGCAAGGGGCAGCCAAAGTGCTAGAGTGGGGCTACTCGTGTGTCTGAGACCTGCTGTGTTAAATGTGTCCTGAGGAGAGGACTCATGCCTGTTGGCAAGCTGGCAGGGAGACACCTACCCTGGCCAGAAGACCTGGGAACTAGGGTACTCACCCATGGCGCATGAGCTCCCAGTTCAGCTCCTTCCTTCTGTGCCTGATTTGCAGCATCTTCAGCCTCCGTCTCTCCCTCATGTGCCAAGTCAGCCCCTACCCTTTCAGCTCGAGGCTCTCTGTAGCAGGCGTATCTCGATCTCTCTCTGAAGCTGTTCATTTTGTGTAAAATTAGGTATTAATTAAAATCAAGTGTGAGAACAGACAGCCAGGCTTATATCTTGTAGGATCGACCATTTTCCTTCAGCCTCATGTTATGGCTAAACAATACGGTTCCTTCAGTAGCAAAGCTGGCAGAAGTTCCTACCCCCCATGCTGTTACCTACATCCTGCTCGGAGCCGCTGCGGGAGCCAGCACGGTGAACATCATCACTAAAGTGAGCCACGTTAAAAACAAGCAAACAAAATCTTCCTACATTTCAGTGTGGTGTGCCTTTCCCGGCAAGGACCATGTAGCTGGCCATCAGGAACCACTTCAGCCAGCTGTGTCACTGAATTATAACCACATCCTCTAACTGCAAATCTGCCACTAATTATAGCCCTGGGGCATACTCCCAAATGGCTACTGGATTCGGCCAAGCTGGTTGGGCAAGTGGTTTGACATTCCTGTCGGAGCTCGTTCGTGAGAGCAGAATCCCCTCACATCAGTAGTTTCAGGCCATGAATGCCTATTCCTGTCCAGCAAGAGAATATTTGAGGTTTTCCTTATGCAATCTTGGGCTCTCAAGTGCCTTAGGCACTTCAGAGAGGAGATGTTGGGCATTGCTTCCCACTCACCTCTGCTTTTGGCTGCCTGGGACCAAGGGACCACCAGCACATGCTGCAGCACGGCGGCCTCAGCTTTGCACCACACCTACGCTAAGCCGAGAGGCACCTTGCTGGCTGCATGCTGCATTTCAGAAATGCCTGCGCTCGTACCCTGACAGCTTTCCCCAACGGCCTGCATAAATATTATTTATGAGAGCTGTCTTGGGCAGAACGGACCATGCCATCGCACACTTCAGATGTTCTTCCAAGCTCTATAAAAACAAAGGTCCACACCCACATCTGGTGCAGTATCTTGCATCTAGTGGCGGGAATGCCATTAAATTGTTTTAATAATTTTTAATGGCTTTTAGTTGGCTAGCCTGGCTCAAATAAAGCATGAACAAAGATAGTCTATGGGGTGGCTTACATATTTTGGATGTTAACAGATGTGCCCAAGGCTCAGGGAGATCCGAAGGTCATAATAAAGCTCATACGTGTTGATGGCTTTCAAATATCTGTTAATCAGAATGAGACTGTTGTCCTTCCTCAGGGGTCTGGTTCACTAAAGCACTCTGCTCTGTACTGCAGATTATGTCACCTGCTTATATCAATAATTATTTTTGATGCTAAGTTCTTCATGCTTGTCAACTGTAGTTTTATGACTTCACCTTCAGAAAGTTAAGCCCGTTCGTTTCTGCAGCCACCATCCATTTGAAAAGTTGAAGAAAAGCTTCAGCCAGAGTGCATTCAGAGACCCTCCCTACCCCAGACTCTCAGCTTAAACACTGCAGCAGCTCAACTCCAGAGCTGTATCATCCTTTTTTCTACATACCACGTCCTCAAATGATGTTTCAAGCCCCAGAAAAAAACAGTAGCTGAAAGAGAGCTTTAAATAAACCAGGATCTTAAATTTTGAAATTGCTCTGAGTAGGAGTCGTCATACTCAACTTGTCATCAGACGCACAAACTTACATGAACAAACATGTCTCATGTTATTTCAGATTCAGCCTAGAATAAATGAGATCAGGGCTTTTTGGAACATTTGTATGAGACTGCAGGTGCTCTTCTTTTAAGTTTCAAGGTGATTGAAATTTTGAGAGGTTGGCTGTACCCACCAGACCATAAGCTCACAGGGCTATCTGCCGCTAGGGGTAAACTGTAAGGTTTTGGCATCACTAATTTCCGACAGTAGGCCTAATTCAACCCCTAACTTACAGTGCACTCCAACTTTCAGCAGCCCAGTGAGTGGTGTACCTGATTGCATTTTCCTCGCCCCCTTTTCTCATTCCCCTAAACCCCAAAGGAGCTGCAAGATCCTCAGCAAGGGAAGATGTGGCAGATCAGCTGACAAGCAGTACCTTGCTGGGCTCCCACTGAGTTTCAAGTCTGCAGAAACCAGCAGACTTTGTATTTCAGAGAGGTAAGATATTGTGCCTCCTACCACAACTGTGGTTCCTGGTATCTGCCGAGTTTGAGACTGAGCAGACCCAGAGGCTGTGAACGTTTCCTCGGGATGCTGTGGCCTCCCAGCAGGGCCAAGCGCCATTCCAAATGTGCATGCCTAGGCCCCCGGCCCTCCGTCACAGGTTACTTAATGTCACTCTTCCCAATAAATCGGATCCAAATATCTTCGTTCATTGGTGATTTTTTTGTTTGGTTGGTTTTCTTCAAGTATAATAATTTTATAGATTAAAATTGTATAGGAAAACATTTTTAGAAACTGTCTTATTTCAAATAGATACAATTCGAAATTATTTCTATGTGGCGGTGAGAAGGACAACAGACATGAAGGTGCATTAGATGGGTAATGCTTGGTAAAGTTTATTTTAATAAGAGGGCTGGTAAGGTGAGCAGGCAAGCAATTTACCAGTAAATACAAATCCCATTTGTCTGTTGCTTTGAAATATTCCATGCTAATTTGATTATAGTAGCTTCCTAAATTACTGTCTTCTCTCAGTAACTGCTCATGGTCCCACACCTCTCATTTTGATAGACGACTTTTCCTTTAACTATAACATAGTCGATCAATGCTTCATGTCCCCCAAACTGGTAAATCAAGTGCTCCCACCTAGAAAGACAACAAGATGTTTAAGAATATCCAGACTTGCATAAAACCAGGTCACAGACCTAGTATACCTGGCAATTACAAAAGATTTGCTTGAACTATCAGAAAACACTATTCCATGTTTACATGTTGCTCTCTTGTTGCATGAATACAATGAGTTAATGTACAAGTCAGTAGATAATTCCTTCCACAAAATAAACAGGTATTATCTTTAGATAATTTGTAATTAGGCATGGATTATTTGTATTATTAGCCCCAAAAGTTTTAGGCTTTATTTTCCACTCAAGTGATTAAGGTGAATGAAAGTGGGTCTAAAATGCTAGCAGTGTCCATTTTTTCAGATAAAAATAACTTCTAAAGCACGAGGAATTCACTAATCTCTCCACTATCCACAATAGGGTGAAAAACAACGATGTCCCTTATGTTAAATCCCATTTCAAATGACAATGGAAGAACAAACCTTGATGAATTTATGATAACAAGGTCCCCCTGCTTGCCAGTCTCTATGGAGCCATGCGTGTCCGATTTTCCCAGAGCATAAGCTGCATTAATGGTGGCAGCTGCTAGTGCTTCATTCATTGACATCCTCATGTTTACACAGGCCAGATGCATCACCATAGGCTAGTAGGCAAGTTAAGTGGAAAATGGGAGTTACCAGTAACACAAATAAAGTTGTTCGTGCCTCAAATCCCTAAGCACTCTCCTCCCTCCTTGTGCAACAGAAGGAGTTGTCCGGCATGGTGTATATCTTGCCAACTCCCAAATGAGAACTCTAAAATCAGGAACTTTGAGAGCCTTTTTCATAAGCTTTTTGGTGCATATGAAGAATAGAAGCCCTTCTGGTTTCAAGAATTTCTGGCAAAAACTACCAACCCACATAAATAAGCATGAGCAATTGTCTAAGCTGGGCATACAGCTCTCTTTGCGGATACGAACACAGTTTTAAGTGCAAAAGTTCTATACATAGGTTGTACTGGTAAAAGATTTCATAATTTTGTGGTGTCATAAATATTAGGAATAGCTTACCATTGAAAAACAGTATGCGTTAGGATTAAAGTCACTGCCAAGAGCAACTATAACTCCTTCTTCTAACATTTTTCTAGCTTGAGGTTGCTTCAGTCTAGTGGGAAAAAGACACTTGTCAGTACAATTCGCTTAGAAATTACAGGATGAATTACATGAGCAAAAGTCATCACTCAGTTTGGCTACATTCATGCCTTCAGTCACACTAATCCTTTTGGAGACAAAAGGCCAAATTCTCCTCTTGGCTCCCTGCCTAACACCCTATGGACAGCATAAATGGGAAGTGTAGTCCACTGCTGTTGCAGTAACAGCATGTGGCAGCAGCCAGTATCAAGCACCAGGCTCCAGGCCAGTGAAATTCTGGTATTTATCCAGAGCTCAGCCACTTAAGGATTTACAAGGTGAAAATCTTCATTTCTCAAAAAAGTAATTTTCTCGTCCTTATAGCTTCAAAGACAGGCTCCCAAATATGAGCAGTGGCATAAGCAATGCAATAGTCCCTTCCCGATTCTGTTGGCAATTCAAAACACTAAGTTGAGGCTGTGAATTTAATTTGTACACATCAGAGGATTTTCTCACTTAGCAATGTTAATGCAAAAGATATCTTCAATAACTTCAGTATCTGGAATAGCCATTTCAAAATTGTTCGGCCACTGGGTTAATCTGGGTAGGTGTTTGCAAGGGTGGGCACTAGGAAATACACTCTCTAAGAAGTTTTAGCCATAGTTGCTGAAAAGCCAGTAGCGCCAAACATTGTGTCCAAGCCAGTGTAACAATAAAAATGAAACATTAGAGCATCTGCTGCTCAAAAAGTGTTTTAAAAGCACTGCAGTTAACAGAAAAGAACAATAAATGACATCTCAATGAAGTGCTTACATTTGGTATAAGACAATCCTCTCCCTATAGAAGCCTCTTAGCAGATTTATGAGATAATACCACCTGCTCCTGCACAACACGATGCTTTGGGAGTTAACTGTGTTTAAAAAGATTTGTCTGAAGAGCCTTTCTCGATCCTCTCGTCCTTCCAGCCTCTGCATCTCCTGCCGTGCTCTGCTGCCAGACTCCTTAGGAGTACTGCAGGCAATGGTTAGCAAAGGCTAACCGTTAAGCGACTCTCCAGCTGCACTCTTCGGCCCACTTCTGGCCATCAGGTGAAGCCCTGGCCGCTACTGCTTTTCTTAAAAGCAGGGGACAGTATAGGGGCAGGACCTCCCGAGGTCTGAGCTCTCACAAGTGGTACTGAAGGAGCGGAGGGAGGCCAGCAAAGGATGTACCACACTGCCTCATAGCAACTTCTCATACATTGCACAGCTTTCAGCCCTCTAATACTCTTTTAACCAGTTACCTGTTATATCTCTTCTTCATTTTTAGAGTGTATTAGACTGGGAGGCCTGTGTTCAGTAAACAGTGCACTGGACACTAGAGCTAATGAGGCCTCATTTCCTACAGCTCGTTATTATCCCCATCTTAGACTTATCCTGAGGTTATAAACTTTCCACTGCATGGAGTCTCTGGAGTAACATGTGAGTCATAGCGCAGCCTTTTCCACAGGTGACTGCGTCTCTGCTGTCTCCTTTACCTCCCTGCCTGGGGTCAGTTTGCAGGACCACACGTCCTCCCTGAGATCTGTATTCTGACAGTGCATGTAGTTGCAATCAGCCAGTAGTTCAAAAGCACTGGTGCAAGACACGGACAGCTAACCACAAATAGAAGCACAAGCACGAACAGACATGAACACAGGTGGCGATGGCACAAGCCTCAATGCCTCAGAAAGCGGGCTGCTGAAAATAAACCAAAGTAACTCAAGGATCTTCTCTTTGCAGGAGGGAAGGTATTATTGGATCATGGTCCTCATCATCTAGTTGGCTTATTTTTGGCATTAGGGGTAAGCAGGTGATCCATCTATGCTTATCTGGAATATCTGCGTACGGAAAATAGCATTCTTAAGGCGATTCTCCTCAGTGTTGCCGGGGTAAAATCAGATGAGATTTTAAAAATGCAATCCACAGTCTTTCAGTGCTTTAGATAACCAAAGGATTCATTCCCAGCAAAACCTTCTGCAAGAGAGCAAATACATATATTGCAGATATAATTTGCCTGAAAAAAAGCCAATTCAGTTTTCAAAGGCTAAATGGATTAAAGAAAACCAGTCTAGTTTTCTTCTTAAATGAATGCCTGATTATCACCTTAGCTTGTCATAAGGGTTAAATTCCAGTGTTGACTGAAACACTCAAAATCTACCGTAAGACTTCTCAGAAGTGGGGTATTGCTTCATTTTTGAGGATCTCCACCAAAGCATTACATTAAAAGACCCTAAGACCACAAACATGGTTTTGCCGTTACAAAAGTTTTCCTCCAATCTAGTGGCTTTACCTTAGCATGTAGGCAGTTGTTGGTAAAAGGACAGCGGCGCACTTAGCTCTGGCCATCGCCGTGATACCTTCATCACTAACTTCTTCCAGGTGGCTGATAGCCTGGGCTCCTAGTTCAGCTCCAAGCTAAGCAAATTTTCAAGAATATTACTCGCTGTTCTCAATTAATTCAGTAAAGCAGTGTTATTATCAAATGACTGGAAGACACAATTCACTATTAATATAAAATTAACTAAAAGAAAAAAATAACAAATGCTTGAAAGAACAAACAAAATGCAGAGACAAAATATTTGCTAATTTACTGCAGGAAAAGTTGATCACAAAAAGGTGTTAACCATCCACCAAGTGGAAGTGCACCTTCAGTAGTGTTTTTAACAGACTAACATGCAAACTATGGGACAGTTATGGATAAAACCATTATCCACTCCTGTTCACAAAGTATACAGCAGAAAAGGGTTGACAAAACTGACACTGGTTGCAGAACAAGTAGTGCAACTGCTGCTTTCAATGGTGAAGCACCAAAAAGTCTTTTATGATCCATCAAGTTTTTGGGTTTTTTTTTAGATACAGCAGAAATAACTTCAGCAGACCCCACAGGAAGGAAGCAATGTTTAAATGATGGTGAAACATGGTCTCAGAGTGACTTTCTTTATCAAGATATTTGGGAGCCTATTCTTGACTAAACCATCCCTCCGAGTGTGCTCACTGCATATCTGACTTGCTGCTGCTAATAGGACATTTAAGAAAAAAACATTTTTCAAGTTGCACAGAACCCATGTTTTTGTCATTCTTGGGTTCACGGATATCCACCTTCCCCATCTGTATCCCATGTGGAAGATAAGCAAAGTCAATGTTTGATTAGGCAGTGCATGTTAGTCGCAGGTCAAGGTTTCCTCCCATGTCCTTAACTCCAAAGCTGCACAAGGGCTGCACTTTCTATCATCTGATAGAAATAAATGTCTATGAATGGTCTATTTTATAAAGTCTTAGAAAAGAAAACCTTGGTTTTGAAAACCGCAATTCTTTCAAAGATTCAGTTCTCACAAAAGCAAAGCAAAAACCAAAAATGGCTTAACTGAATGTTAAGAAAGGCGCACCTCAGCAGATTTCATTGGATGGAGTTCATCACCATGGAAGTTAATCTGTAACCCTATATCTTTTCCAGCTTGAAGAATTCTCCTAGTAGAATCCAGATCAAAGACTCCCTTCTCACAGAACACATCTATATTGTTAACATCTATTTCACCACTTAGTTTGAGTTCTTTCAGTTTAGGGAGGTGGTTATTGATAATGTCATCTGTGGCTTCAGTAGCTGTTTTCCCTCTAATGAAAAGAAAATGTTACAGACCCGTAAGAATAACATCCTTGAAGTCTGGCAAACATTCAAATTGTACATGCAATTACTAGATTATTGAGAAAATGATGCAAATACAAATCACTCAAAAAACCTTCAGATTAAAAAATTTAAAACTACTGTAATTCATGTACTCTCAAAGACTAATTACTTTCCATTCAAAGAATACTAGATTGTATTACAAGGTATTTTTTATAAGGTTACCTTCTCCGATGCTAACCAAGACATGGTAATTTTAAAACAAATTCTTCTCCTTTCCTATTCATATATTTTGACCTACTTATTCTGTATTCTAAACCACAACTATTTAAAATATGTAAATGATTATTTAAACATTTTAGATAGTATTCATGCAATGTTTTTATGCAAGTGAAGACCTCAAAGGGGACACGCAGCACAAATCATTATTTTAAATTTACCTCTCCTCCTTTTATATCATTCAGAGTGATAGCTAGGTAAGTCTTTCTAAATCAGAGGGGCCTCTCAAGGCTCAATTTGCCAAAGTCAGAACCATTTATGAACCCCCTATTACACAGAGATAACCCAGGAGAGATCAGTAAATGCCTTTGAAAGAGCGAACAATCCCAAAATCTGCAGTTGAGTTAATATTTTGCAATTTTAAGATCTAAAGATAAGTGACATACTGCAGCTAAATGTCTGCGACATCTCAATCCTCATTTCAGGCACTGGAAAGCAGGCACAGACCGGCATTATACGAGTGCCATATGTGAGCGAGTTGGGAGTTTTACAGTGGCAGTAAATTCAAAAAGCCAAATTCTGTTCAGATTTATAAACAAGGTTTTGCGGTTATAAAGCAGAGCAGAATCCAGCTTATGGGCCTTCTTTTGTTCACCTCTCACTGAAACAGCCGTTGGGGTTGCTCAAGCTTTTACCATGCCAAGCCTTCTCCCTTTTCTTCTTTTACTCTGCAGCCTTTGGAGGAATTTGGACTGAAAGATTAGGACCAGAGCCGAGACAAAACAAAGGGAAACAAGTCTTGGTTTCACTTTTTGGGGGGACATAATGCCCAAGAATTCAAAACTGCCATTGTTCTAATGCAAGAGACTTCTCCTCAGAAAATCACTTTAAAAATTTCTTCCTAAAGATGAAAAGGGCCCAGTGAAGCAAAAAAAAAAAAAAAGAAATTAGAATCAGATATCCTCAAAATCATGAATTTGATTCAAAATGATGACTGGAGGGATGACACAGCAGTTATTTCTTTGCCCCCCTGCTGAGAGCTTTTTAGGTTCATTTTCTAAAGAACTGGAAGCTCTTAGGCTGGAAACATTTTTAAAAGCAATGGACAGCAACAAGGATCACTATAAGTAGAGCAGCCTTATTTTTCTCTGCGATGGCTCAGACTAAAGTAGCCTGCACTGTTTGGTGCATACTTCAGTATGCCTGTTACCAACGCACTGTACCATAGTCCCACAGAATAACTGTGTTTGTGAGGACCTATGGAGCTCATCCGATCCAAGCCCTGGTGCAGAGCAGGGTCAATTTGAATCATGTGTCGATGGTGCCTTCTAGAAGCAGAAAACCAGACCAAATTACTGTATACCTAGAAATCATGAAGATGCACGCAGCAAGTTCTCAACATCTGCCCAAAGCTAATTTCCAGATGGGAAAAAAGAATAACCTTAGTTTATAGAAATGCCTGAAATATTTTGGTGGGGAAGATTATTTATCGGGATTTTGACTGAAATCCTCCCAAAGCTTTTTAGGGGAGGAGGAAAGGAAGGGCTAAGAAATATATATAGTTCGGGGTAAAACCTCAATTTTATTTTACCATTAAGTCCTCCAAATTTTAGTAGAACTTCTTGAAAGAAATATTTGGTGTTTTCAGCAGATTTTAGTTACTTCATTCTTAGCCATCTTCCAGTTATTGAAGATGATACAGGATTCCTTTTGAAAAGTTACATTAACAAAAGATAATTTGCCGTCCTGCCCCAAATACACAATAATTAGATTGCAAATAAATTTTTTTAGGTCATGTTTTCTTGAGTGTCGGAAGAGGTACATTTTTTTTGGAGTATGCTTTTTTTTTTCAAATGAACATGTCTTAAATATTGCCACAGTATCCCTGTGATGCTAGGCCTGCCTCCATCTTACATGCCTTGTTTTGCAGCAGCCTACCACTTAGTCTGTCAAAATGTATGTTTCACATACGTACCTAGCCAAAACTCATTCATTCTTTCATACGATGAAATCCCGTAACTTAAAGATGTTATTTTCATCATAGGGAAAAAAATGTCAAAGTGAGAAAGGCTTGTTATGGTATGTCTACTTGAGCCATCAAAATAGTTGTAATTAAGCACATTTACTTTAATCTTCTACTCATCTCATACCTATAAGATGTATGCAATCCCGCATTGCATGGAAGCATAATTAAGCTTTGTTTACTGAGGCATATAAGGACTAAATACAGTATTTTTTTCTGTTAGCTGGTCAAAATAAAAGCTCATGGCAGAGACTAAGCTTGAAGGGTAGCAGCAAACCCAAGCAGAAGAACTTTCTGTACAGGAAACCCTGTAATCCACATTATGTTCAGTGTGAGCATCAGCTGGAGCCAGGGATTCTGTGCTAAGCTTATGTTGGCATTTAGTAGCCATTAATAATGCTTTCCCGTCTTCCTTCAAATTAAAATTTAGGAGAGCCTTCTGTAAATACTGGCTATTGTTTCAAATATGTTATATTTTAGGAGGGCTGGGCAGAAGAAACCTTTCTGAAAATAACAGCCAATTTTCAATGCAAAGCAGTAATACTTAACAAGAGCAAAAAAAATCAAGTCGTATTACTTCGGCACCGAATGAGCTCCGCAGTACGTTGAAGAAATACCAATATCCATGGATTGCTTAGCGCGTTCGATCACCCTCAGCATTTTAAGCTCTGTTTCTAAGTTTAAGCCATATCCACTCTTGCACTCAACCAACGTAGATCCCGCTCTGCGCATGCGTTCGAGTCGGTGCTTGAAAGTATTGAACAGCTCTTCTTCTGTGGCCTTCCGAGTGTGTTCCACAGTAAAATGTATTCCTCCCCCAGCCTGGTGGATCTCCATATAGGACGCACCTGCCAGCTTGGGGAAAAAAAGAAAACAAAAAACAACCCCCCCATACAATTAGCTATTAAATGTGCATTTTCTATCCAAGCGATTCTGGAAAATGCCTTGAGGTCTCTTTGCAGTGAGAGAGAAAAAGAGAGGGGAAAAATACCAATGAATTCTTCCTCCCTCCCCCTCCTCTTCTCTCTCCCCTCCACTTAAGTGAAGAAATTATGTAAGAAGCAACATAAAGAGAACTACTCTGAAGATTTGATTCCCCTGAGCATAAAGGGAAAACCTATCTCTAGCTCAAAAATTCATTTATGTGGAAAAAAAGAGAAAAAAAAAAAAATCAAGATTTAGATGGTAATAGAAGGCGGCACTCCTGTATTGCTTCAATTAATGCAAAAATATATCAAGGCAGCCTGCAAAGGCTGCAGTTACACTCCTCTCTCACCCTACCAGTATTCAAAAATCATCCCTCCTCCCTCACTTAGATTATCTGACAGAAATTATATGTTTTTCTACAAATGAAAGATGGGAGTCACTAGAAAGTTGAAATAGTTATGCATAGAAAAAGAGGAAGAAAAATCCGGCTGTGTAATTTTATGCCATTACCTTCATTGCAAACTCATGAACCCTATCACCAGCCCACACTGGGTGTGTATGTGCATCTACCAGGCCTAAAGAAAACACAGTAAATGTACACTCAGGTTATTTCACTGTGTAAGAGAAAAGCTTATGAACATGCAAGCAAATGAAATGGACAGCAGAAGCGCCCCTATAAGGCCTCTATTGGTTAGAGAAAAAGAAAAATCCAACCAGCCAAAAATCTAGGATTTTCTTCAAAGGCTATTAATTTTCTTTCAAATTTTTTAGGTGTACTGGCTGACACCTTATGCAAAACGTCTCTAGGTAAATGCATTGGTTGCTCAGTTTCTCATGTTGTTTTGATGATGATTTCAAACTGTGGAAGAAGTGATAAATTACAAACTTTGAAATAGTTCATTAGACTTTACATCTGTGTTCTTTAAAAAAGCAAAGTGCTTAGGCTGGGCTTAGTACGCTAGCACTTACTCTAGCAATAGTCCACTTACTCCAGTGGGAGCTTTTTCTATGAGCTGTGAAACCAACACTACTGAATGCCCAAGACCATTGCAAACGAAACACAGGTCTAACAGCCCTTGTGTTAACACCACTTGCAAAGTTTAACATGCAATAGACTTGCCCCGGTCTATTTTCTTATCAGGTAAAGTTGCAGGATACGTGACTTAAAATCCTGTGCTGCCCTTTTGCCTGCAACTGTTTGCGAGCAGGATGGAGAGATTGAGCTCCACGGCTGAATGGCTGATGGGCGGAAAGGGTAGAGAAAATAGAGGTGAATCTGAAAAGTCACTCTGTGGGCTGGCTATGTTACCGTTGTGATCTATCATACAGAGGAACAGATGTAAGACAAACCAAGAGGAGAGAGCGCTCCACCATGAAGCCCAAAAAACCATCCCGAGTGCTACAATTTTCTCCTTGCAGCACTCCCGATGAGGAAGCTATGATATTCTGCCCCTCAAAATATTATCAAATCAGTACTGAATACAGAGAAAAAAGGGCAGAGGGATGTTTAATACACATTTACTTTGTCTCTAAGCACTTGCCGCCATTCATTATGAAAAAAGACACCTACCTGGTAACACACACTTCCCGGAGCAGTCAATTATTCTCTCAAATGTTGCTTCTGAAAACTGACTGCGAATAACATCTGCCTGGCCCACAGCTTTGATACAGCCATCTCTGCAAACAACAGACAAGAAACAAAGGAAGTGTGAGCCTGTTGAAAAGTCAAGTGCTCAGTGACAGAGCTCCTGGAGCAACAACTCTCTGA